TGAATGAATGAATGAACAAAATTAGGGTATACATACAATGGAGTATTTTTCAGCCTTAAAAAGGAAATTCTGACATGCTACAACATGGATGAACCTTGAAGTCATTATGCAAACTGAAATAAGTCATTTACAAAAAGACAAATTCTGTATGATTCCACTTTTATGACGTACCTAGAGTAATCAAATTCACAGAGACAGAAAGTACAAGGGTAGCTGCCAGGGGTGGGGGGTAGGAGGTAACTGTTTAATGAGTACAGAGTTTCAGTTTTGCAAGATGAAGAGTTCTGAAGATTGGATGTACAATAATGTGAATGTACTTAACACTCCTTAAACTGTGCACTTAAAAATAATTAAGACTGTAAATTTTATGTTATGTATATTTTACTACAATTAAAGTTAACACAGTTGTGCTAGAAGGAAATATGGATAAAGTATTTATGTGGTAGTAGAGAATGCCTGTCTGTTCAGGACCTAATTCCAAAAGCCTTAAAGGAAAGAAGAAACTGACGACATAAAAATATAAAATTTCTCTATGGGAAACAACAAACGGAATTAAAAGAAGAAAATTAAAAACTTATGAATCAGAAAAAGAGAAAAACAAAGGAACATAGAAAAAATCCAAATGGCTAACACACTGAAAACATACTTAATCTTAAAAATAAAGACTAAAAATAAGCAATTTAATTGCCTACTGGCCTGTTAAGGATTAAAAAGATTCACAATATTTTAATGTAGTATTAAAACCCAGACATCTGAAAATCAAGCAGTACTCCGGTACGAACTGGTAAAACTTCTGTGTAGGGTAATCTGGCAATTACTAAAATATTTCTTTTATTTCCTAAATTCTGACATTTCCAGGAATTTTCCCACAAGACTGTACACATGCAAAAATATGAGTAAAAGGATGGTCACTACAGCATTTTTTGATAGCAAAAAACCCCGACAAAAACCCAAACCACCAATGTCCATTAATGTGAATCTACATGAACTACAATACAACTATATAGTAAGGCACTCTGTAGTCATTAAAAAAAAAAGAGGTATAGCATATTTTACATGAACTGACATGAAAAGTGTAAATGCTCCCTTCATTACACAATGTGGTATCACTTAATTTTTTTTTTTTTTAAGATTTTTTATTGCTTTTTAGAGAGGGAAAGGGAGACTGAGAAAGAGAAACATGGATGTGAGAGCAGAACATCAACTGGCTGCCTCCTACAGGCCCCCTACTGGGGATGGAGCCTGACGCTGGGGATGCGGATGTGCCCTGACTGGAATGGAACCAGCAGCCTTTCAGTGCAGGGGACCATGCCCCACCTACTGAGCCACACCTGCCAGGGCTTATCATTTAATTTTTTGTAACATTTTGTTTTGAAGAAAACAACAGGCAAGCATGTGAAGTAAAAAGGATAGAAGGAAAACACAAACAAAAAAATGTAGATTTTAAATGTACTTAAGATTTTTACTTCACTATGAGTACTCATATTTCTATTAGAACAATTCAGCACTAAATCTTTTACCAAGTACTAATTTTCAATTAACACTAGCAGACATTAAGAAGCCAGAATGACTGTACAAAAACATAGAGATGATTCACATTTTGGATAAACTCACCTGAAAAAGATTGAGTTAAGACCCAAAAGTTACAGAATCATGATGCTAAAATGATATATTCTGTGTCATTCAAGGGGTCATATCCATTTTACTGTTTGCAGGGACTTCTGAGAACATCTAGGCAAAGGAATTGAAGTCCAACACCACTGATGTACTCAAGATCATATACTCTGTATGTGGCAAAGCAGTGCTCTCTGGAAATCTTTTTGATAACTGATATAATTTTAAATTTTTTTCTCACTTATTAACAACTATTACTTTCAACAGGACAAGCACACTGACATGGCAACCACTTTAGAAGACATTTATGTCACCAAGAAAAGAAATCATCAAGCATATACTAAAACTTTCCTTAATTACAACCTCAAAATAATCTATGAATCTATTTCCTTCACACCTCTCCCCACCTCAGGTAAAATTTCTCTACAAATATACTCAATTTTCAACAACTCTGAAACATGTTTTCTTGACATTGCTTCCCTGTGAAGCTGTTTCTCTTTCCCTTCATAAAGAGTAGTCATCTCCTTATCTTTGTACTGAAACAAAGGTCAACAGTAACTTTTTTGTAACCTTCACCTGAGGACATTTTTTCCATTGCTTTCCAGAGAGTGAAAGGGAGGGAGGGAAGGAGGGGGAGAAAGAGAGACAGAAACCTCTATATGAGAGATACAGCGACTGGTTGCCCCGCCCCCACACTTGCTCCAAGGGGGGCAAACCCACAACCGGGGTACATGCCCTTGACTATGTGCCCCTGACCAGGGAATCAAACCCAAGGCCCTCCAGGCTTGGGCCAACACTCTAACCACTAAGCCACACCAGCCAGGGCTTTTTTTTTTTTTTTTCATTTACCAATTTTTTAGAGAAAAAGATAGAGAAACATTGACTTGTTCCATTTCTTTATGCATTCATTGGTTGATTCTTGTATGTGCCCTGACCAGGGATCAAACCTGCACCTTTGGCATATCAGGACAATGCTCTAACTGAGCTACCGAGCCAGGGCAACAGTAACTTTTAATTTCCAAGAAAAGTGGTCAGTTCCTATTCAACCTGACTTCTCTACATTTGATACTGTTCACTATACACCAAATGGTGAACTCTTCTTTCTTGAGCTTCCAGGATACTATCATTTCTATGACTATTCTAGTCATCCTTTACATCTATCATTAGTTTTCCATCCTTTAATCATCATTAAATGTTAATGTTTCTCACTATACACCTTGCTAAGGACATTTTTTGTTAACTACAACTATGATTCCTAAGTTGACTTCTCAGGCTCCAAACTCTGATGCACATCTTTCCATTAAACCTCTTTACTGAAATATGAAGTAACTCAAATTCAACATGTTTTGGTATCATCCTCCTAAATGTACTGCCTAATTCAGTTGATAGCGTCAATCACCCAGCTGTTTAAACAAGGAAGATTTATCTTTAAACTTTGCCAAATGCCATAAAATACATGCCATATAAAACTTCCCTGAATTGCCCTCTATCATCCCTACTGTCATTTCCCTACATTTAGGCCTCAAATGCAATAGCTTCATTGTCTTCTCATATTGAAATGCTCTCTAGTCTGTACCAAATGTCAGTGCTCCCTTCACAACATGTAAATGCCCCTAAAAACCCAGCAGTTTAATTTCCCTTTTCAGCTTCATCTATATTGCCCTAAACGTCCTCTTCCATAACCTCCCCCTTCCCATAAACACGGCACAGACTCTTTAAGGCAACATATATTTTCATCCCTTGTTCACTGAATTAAATGATTCATTGGTTAGGGACCACTCAAAGTAATCCATCTGTGACTTTTCCTGATCCTCCCAGGAAGAATGAACGATCATTTGTGAATTGGATTGTAATCCTACACTGCTTAATATCATCCCGTGAGCTACCATATTGTACTATTTTAGCTATATATATTTACATGTCCTTTCCCCTTGGTGCTCCTTGAGGATCACAGTCTAGTAAGAGAGACACAAATGCATAACATTAGGTAGTGATAAATACATAAAGTTGGGGGTGGAAGGGAGTTGTTACTTAGAGAGAGTGATTAAGGGAAGGCCTTCTAAAAAGGGTAACATTTCACTAAGCCCTAAAGAAGAAGCTGAGAGTCACATGCAAATATTAACAGGGCCTTGGAAACAGAAGGAGGAAAGACTGAACCATGCTTGGTATTGTCAAGAAACGATGTGGCTGTGTCACAGTAACTGAAGGAGAGTAAGAAATAAAACCTTAACTCAAATTAGGTAACAAGATTAGCTGAAAGAGTAATTATAGGTGATTTTTTAAAATTTCCACCCTATACGCTGACTTAGATCCTAACACTCTACTGTAAATAAACAAATATAGCAGTATCCTACAATGGCAGAATATGAAGTTACCATAAAGGAAGGTAAATGTTCATATCTCACTGATAATTACCCAATCTCATATCCAATCCTGATCTTAAACCTAACTTTGGTATCTTGTCCTCTCCATGGTCCATACACTTAATTCATTATCTGCATCCCCCATGCTAAGTTGGCTTTGGTCTACTCCAAAATGCTGGTCTGGGACAAGACTTTGATTCTTAATTTTTAAAGGCATGCTCAATGGCTTACAATAGGTACTTCATACCTATTCTGATATACAAAACCATTTTTTTCAATGACCTAAACTAAAATTTTTATCATTCATTTATATCATTCCTACCAGCAATCTAGTTTTAAAACCCTGCCCTTTCTTTCTTTGAAAACTCTCACTTTCTTTCTTCCCCATTTCTACTGCCATCACTAAATTTGGATTATAAAAGCTTCCTAAATGATTTCTCTCTCTTCAAAACTTACCCTCTAAAAACATATAGTACTCACAACTATTAGACTGACTTTTTTTACTGAACAACTTTCTTTCATCATTTTACTCTTCTACTTAAAAAGTCTTTAATGGGTCCCTAGTATCTTAAGGTAAAGTAAAAACTTAGCCTTAGTTTTCAAGATTCTTCGAAATTCACGGTACCATTTATATTACTCTCTTCTTAAAGCAAAGCTCTATCTCTATTCCTAATGGGATAAAATCTCACCATTCCCAGAACAAACTTAATTTTCATATTTTCCAGTGTCATCAAGGCTGACCACATGATTCCTAAAGATAATCTCAGTTTCTCAGATGTACCAAAAAAAGAAGTCCAATAAAAAGGAGTGGTCTCCTCAGACAGAAAAAAAGAACAGAAAAGCATCTTCTGATTAGAAAAGGCAATTAAGAATTTTACATTACTAACAAATAACTATAACATCCCATTGAGTTCCAGTTTAAAAAGTACTTTTATTTTACATACCAAAAAATTGTGGGATCTCAGATTTTAAGTGACTTGCCCAATGTCCCATTTAAAATTATGAACAGAGGCTCTTACTCCCGAGCAATACCTGCAGTGGAGGACCCTCCCCAGGAGCAGCAGCCTGTCAGCATGGCTCAGGAGTTTGTGAACTGCAACATCCAGCCTGGGAAGGTGGTGGTGTTCATCAAGCCCACCTGCCCCTACTGCATACGGACCCAAGAGCTCCTCAGCCAGTTCTCCTTTAAACAAGGGGCTTTGAAGTTTGTCGACATCACAGCCACCAAGGACACAGACAAGATTCAAGATTATTTGCAACAGCTCACGGGAGCGAGAACAGTACCTTGAGTCTTTATTGGTAAAGAGTGTATAGGTGGATGCACTGATCTAATAAATATGCATGAAAAAGGGGAACTGTTGGTGCGCCTAAAGCAAATTGGAGCTCTACAGTAATTACAGAGCAGACCACAGGCTATCTCCCTTGAGAGCTGGATGACATTGCGATTGATGGCAGCGCTTCCTGGTGGATGGATGTGGAGCTACCTTTACCCAGCTACAACGACTGTTTACTTAATATTCTGATCTATCTAAACCAAAAAATGGGGGGGGGGTTCCTCGGCAAAAACAGGCTTTTCTTCTCTAGACTCTATTAAAAGTGGACCTACTTGCCACAAACCACAGGTCTGAGAAGGTTGATGGACATCTTGGGTTTCTTCCAGATTGGTCCTTGGGTTCCAATAGACCCTGACAAGTTATGGCTCGGGATTTCCTCAATGACCCCCAAAATTCTCTTTTGCACGTGGTTCTTTCTAACTGTTCTTCATGTGCCAGGACTCCTCTATATCTTAAGCCAGTGTTTCCCAACCTAGTTTATCCCAGGTCCCCTACAATGAATTGATAGTTAATTTTATGCTACTGACTAAAAATTTTGTTAAGTTTGAATTTATAGAGGTTGTATTATGAAATCAATAGGTATTTTGAATGTGCTTTTTCAAACTACCTGTGTCTCCCCCATCCTATCTTGAGAATCATTGCTCTAAAGCAGTGTTTTTAACCTTGGAAACACACACAGCTCATAGGAAATGCTCAACAATTCTGGGAAGGGCCTGAGGATCCAATTTTAGAAACACCACATGAAAAGTCAAACACAGTGGGCCTTAACTTGGTGCTATAGGGCTCGGAGGTGCACGTGCAGATGCTGTGATCATGTGGCAACACTGTTAAGGGAGATGATTGTCCAGGTACACCTGAACAAGGGTGTATTGATTTGTTTAGATTATAAACAAAAGTTAAACACAAATTCAAAGCATTATCATAAAAAACTTGCAACCTCCTTCCTCAAGAATGTCTGTGAAAGTAGCCGAATTTGAGAAACACTGTCTTAAATGATTTTCTCTCCTTTTATCCCTCACTCTACGAAAACTCAAGAACCCCTCATTATGAAGTTTGTTCTAGAATTGCAAGATTAAGTTAATTTCCTTTTGCAGTCTCTAGTGTGAAAGGTTAATTTCTTCTGTAATAAAGAAGCAATCATAGGTGACAGTGATTTTTTTGGTTCGCTCTTTTCTATGCTCTCAGGTCCTTAAGGAATGATCTGAATGTGAACACATCAATTTGAAGCTCTATCCATGTTTGTCCCCTGCCATTATGAATAAAGGCACATGCTACTGCCCTTAAAGAAAATAAAATAAAATAAAAATAAAAATAAAATAAAATAAAATAAAAAAATAAAATAAAATAAAATAAAATAAAGAACAGAGGAAGCTTCTAAGGCACTCGAAATTCCATGCCTACAACCTCCCTGCCCTAACTATATAAGAAACAGATTAATGTATTTACTGTTAAAATAGTAAAGTGCCTGATGTTTAGACGTTAACTAAATCATGTTATGCAAATCAAATTATCTGCTGAAAGGATAAACACAGGGATATCACTCCTGGTCTTAAAAATCCTTCAGTGCTTCCCCACAGAATTCAGAAAAGTTCAAAGCTCTTCAGACAAACAAAGCCTTTCAAACTCTCCTAACTACTATTAATCCAAGAAACCAAATCCCACCATGTTCCATTTACACTACAGTACTTAAAAATATTATTCCAATAACTTGTAGGGACTCTGCCATCATTGTTACATTTAAATAGAAGAGTAGCAAACAAAAGAGAGATACCAAGGGTTAAGACATATATATTAATAATCTTGTCAGGGCCACATTAATTTCAAAACTGCTTGTGAAATACCGAGTGTTACATTTAAAAGGGGATCACTGGAATAAACATTAAAATAAAACTTCAAATATCCCTTTCACCCTCAATTAGATTGCTTGGCTCTGGTCAGTGTGGCTCAGTGGTTAGAGAGTTGGCCTGAGCACCAACGGGTCTCAGGTTGGATTCCTGGTCAAGGGCACGTACCTGGGCTGCAGGTTAGATCCTCAGCCTCAGTTCGGGGTTTGTTCGAGAGGCAACCAATAGATGTGTGTGTCTCTCTCTCTCCCTCTCCTTCCCGCTTTCTCTAAAAATCAGGAAAAGACTGCTGAATCTCAGAAGGGGGGTGGGGAGCAGAAAGAGATTAACCAAAGAACTTATATACATATATGCATAACCTATGGACACAGACAATAGTGCAATGAAGGCTTGGGTGGGGGTGGGGTGCAGAGGGGTCACTGGGGGGAAAAAGGGGCACATCTGTAATTCTTTCAACAATAAAGATAAATTTTTAAAAAATTCATACTAATGTAAAAACAGAAAAAAAATTCAATGGAAAAAAATATCCTTGCGTGAGGATTAACAAAAAAAGGAAAAAAGAAAAAGAAGAATTAGATTGCTTGGATTTGAGTTCTGATTCTATCTACTTCCTAATAATTTAACCTCCCTGGGTCTCATTCTGCAGAATGTGGATATCTCAGGACTGTTGTGCCAGTTAAACGAGAGAACGTGAAGCACTAAGCACTGTGTCTAAACATAGCAAGAATTCAAATATATTCTAATTTTTAACTGTTCGAAGAACATAGATTAAAATGGAAATGCTAATTTGGGGCTTCTTCTCAAACCCTACTCTCCCTGACAGCCTGCTAGAGGTTAAAAATGGTTCATTCACCATAAGGAATACCAATAATTCTTCTGCACTCGTGATCTCCAGGAAGTCAAGTAGTGGCAAAATCTGAATGTGATCTGATCTTCTTCATTTGTTCCTACTGGCTGTCTTCAGGCACCTGGAATAAAGTCTAGCTCATAGTAGGCGATCAATATTTTTTGGAGAAATACTGGAATCAGTGTAAACGTCTGGCCAAATAACTAGTTGATTCACAGGACTGAACTAAATTCTTGCTTCAACTTCCATCACTGGGCCATATTCCAAGAACTCATATAAAAGTGAAGCAGTTATGGATGGACGCTCAGTTGGAGGTACATGGTGTCTATGGCAGTCCCAAAACTGTATTCAAAAGGGCACAGTGAAAGACAATGCATTAACATGACATCAAGAATAAAAATTAGAATCTCTTATGCCTTTCATCTTTTAAAAATATTTCCTGATGTCCCATCCATCTGTAACATTAAAACTCACCTGTTTTTTCAGTGATATCTGAATCAGGGCTCCCTGCCCTGCTAACTTCCCCTTCAGCATTCTCCTCTTCAGCACTAAGAGAAATTGGTGAAGACGGGCCAGGCTGGGAGGGCTGAGGGGTTGCTTCGGGCGCTTCCTCAATCTTACTTCTTTTTTCAAAACGAAAACGATCCAGGTTGAAAAGATTCATATTGATAGAAACCACCACCCTGTGGGATTGGGAGTTCTAAGTGAACTTATCTGCAGGGAGAAAATATAAAGAGAGAGAGGCCATGAAAACAATATAAAATACAAAGCCATAGCAGTTCATTCCCAAGGCTATTAAGAGACCGCAGATGTGCCAGTGGCTCGGGATGACTATTATGGCTGCGCTTCATTGTTAGGCCACAACGATGAGAAGGTGGCCAGAGGTATCTTTCTAAAATCTCTCCATTGCTCTTTTCACTCC